ACACCCACACCCACACCCACACGCACACGCACACGCACACGCACACCCACACGCACACGCACACGCACACGCACACGCACACGCACACGCACACGCACACGCACACGCACACGCACACGCACACGCGCACGCGCACGTGCACGCACACGAACAAGCACACGCACACGCACATGCACACGCACAGGAACCGCACAATAGCGGCACTTCCGCCACCACCACCACCACCACCACCGCCACCACCTCCAACAACACCAACAACAACAAAGTAGCTGTTGCGTCTGCCGCCACGGAGGTTGTGTCGTTTTTTTTTGGAAGGCTTTTTTGGTCAAGAGCCTGAAACTTGCAAGTTTTGTATGACTTTCGTGAGACACCCTCCGCGGCGACAGACGCAACAGCTGCCAACAACAACAAGAACAGCAGCAGCGAAAGCATCAGGAACAGCAGCCGCAACTGTAACAGCAGCAACAAAAACGGCAGCAACAGCGACAGCGACAGCAGCTGTCGCAGTGACGACAACTAGAAGAAACGCAAGCATTATTGCAAGTGTGACCACTGCGACTACTGCAACGACATTCACGATCATGACGACGACGACCACTACTACTACCACTACTACTACTACTGCTGCTGCTGCTGCTGCTGCTGCTGCTGCTGCTGCTGCTGCTACTAGTACTACAACTACTGCTGCTACTACTACTACTACTACTACTACTACTACCACCACGACCACCACCGCAACAACGACGAATGAATATGACTACGACTACCAAATCACTACCAGGCACTACCACTAGCAGCAATGCCACTGCAGCGGCACTTCCGCTTGTGGCACAAAGTGTATTGCTCGAGACTTTGGCCCGAACACATGAAGCTTTCGTTCTTAAACCTGCGTGCTTGCATCAGGTGGCAGCACATTGAAGTGACATGGGCTGGCACAGCAAGCTGCTCACGAACCATTAAGACCAAGCCGAAACTTGACGAACACTTGCTTAGAGGAGCGGTTGACTTCGTAAGTAGGGGTATGATTGCACCAGCCGCGAGAATCAACTGTGAGCCTACTATGCCCTCACAACCTGAAAACTTGCGGAGCTGAACAGCCACGGTCATCGACACAGAACCCTACTTACGATAATCCGTGTGCTCAAGCCCTAAATCCCAAAGTCTGGCCAAATTGAACATCCACTTTGCTTGCGGACGTGATGACAGAAGGGTGCGGCTCTACATGCTTATGTAGTTCTGCTACCTGCAAGGACTCCGGCGAGTTTATCGATGATCTCGCGCTCAGCGGCAAAATCAAATCTCAATCCGAAGCCAGTCATAAGCCCTGAACTCAAAGCCCGAAACCCGGAACTCTAGACTCTAGATCCCAACAGGCAAGCTGGGTTCCCAGTTGGGGCAGATTTGAAATCCTGATCAAGTTTAAGGGTTTTGGGTTTGTGAGTCGCTGCAGCTCCAGACTCAACTTCTGCAACTTCAGACTCCCATAGAAATGGAAGCTTTTTCAGGCGGAAGTTGCGATGGCTTGTGACCCTTAGGTTTAATGCGGGCAGTTGCCACACAAAGGATGCAACACAGCCGAGGTTTAAGGTTCCGGGGACCAGGGTTCATGGCGTCAGGGTTCAAGATTACACACCAACAACATCAGGGGCCATCGAAGCACACAACCTAAAACCTGTAAGATGTCAGCAAACCCGGTGTCCCCAAGCATGAATGTTTAAGTCCTTTGGAAAACACCAGAAACCCTGAAACATCTCTAAGCCTCAACCCTAGAGCGCAAGGCCCTTACGCAACCAGCTGCTACACCTCTGTAAGTTGTAGCAGCTGGGGTGCTCGGGTTCCGAGATGTGGGTCTTTCAGGCACAGCCTTCTTGGTATTGGGATCAAGCATTCGGGTTGAAGGTCAAGTGTGGCAGCTCTGCCGTACTGATGCCTGAGCTAACTAAGCATGGTGCTCGATGATCGAATTTCTTCAAAAACACTTTCACACGCCGAGAAGCTACCAGGAAGGAGTTTGCCAGGGTGTAGGGCGATGCACAAGCGGTAGTGGTAGCTGTCGTCGAAGTAGTGGCAATGGCAGTGGCAGTGGTACTTGCAGTAGTGGTGGTAGCAATGGTAGCAGCAGCAGCAGCAGCAGCAGCAGCAGCAGCAGCAGCAGCAGCAGCAGCAGCAGCAGCAGCAGTGGTAGGAGTAGCGGTAGCGGTGGTCGTGGTTGTGGTACTTGGTGCTGGTGCTGCTGGTGGTGGTGGTGCTTGCTGGTGGTGGTGGTGGTGGTGGTTGTGACGGTAGCAATAGTTGCAGTAGTAGTCGTCGTACTAGCAGATTAGCAGCAGCAGCAGCAACCGCAGCAGCAGCGGCAGCAGCGGGACTAGCAGTGGGATGAGCTGTCGTCATCGTCACTGTCTACAATGAGGGTGCTTCCTTCCTGCACATGAGCCTGCACATGAGGCATCGACTGCCGTGCGAATCGTGGCTCAGCCAGATTCGCTCGACCAAACGCAACATGCAGCCGTTGGAAGGCCTCCGCTTAACAGTATATATTTATATTATTATTATTATTATATTTATATTTATATTGCCAGTTTTACAGCTGTGGCACGAGATACCGTCAAACAGTTACAGGTTGTGCTTCCCTCTCTCTACATGGGCACCCGACTCGAACCACTCTAGATCTGCAGACTCTGATCTTTAGGAATTGGTTTGAGAGTCTTTCGGAGTGTGGCTCTTTGTCTTGTGCTTAGAGTCTTCGTCGCATGTAGCTTTTGGGGTCGGGATTTCGGCTTGTTTTGGAAAGTGATAGCTTTCAATACCAACCCAAACGCTACAATGGAATCCTGAACCCCTGGCCCTCACAACCCTAAAGCCCACGGCGCAGTCTTTTCTGGGTTCAGGATGGCTAAAGCAGATTGGCTTTCCTGGGCTGATGATCTCAGCGCCTCCGCTCATAGTCAGACATGTCCCCACGATGGTTCTAGTATGTGAGTACGTACGGATGGACGGATTGATGGGTGTATGATGTATGATGTACGTATAAAGACTATGTTGACTATGCAGGTTGGTTATGCTGTGGCATAATACACTAAGCAGCTACGATGTATAGTTCAGGTTTAGGGTTTGGACTGTCAGGCTTCAGAAAAACGACAGCGGTAGTACACCGACGTTGGGAGCATGCCTCTCAGCTTGCAGACGTGCAAAGTCCGTTATGACAAAGCCGAAGATTCCAAAGATGCCACATGCCGCATGCCGCAACAATCACGGCCCACACCCTAGATAAATTCTAAACCTTCTGATGCACCGCAAACCTGTCTAAGTCGTATACGAGGGACAATTCGGAAGCGAGGCAAGGGAATGCTTTCGACACTTTTGGGTGACGCCTGGATCTTGCGGCAGCGGCCGTGGGTGGGTGTTTCTCACTGAGCCTCCTCTAAGTATCTTCAATTTGGAGTTTTGGGCCGCGCGGTGCTGTAGTCCAGGGAGAAAAAGAGCTACCCCCTCAACCACACACCTCGAAACCCAAAACCTCAACGTGCAAAAAAAGACCAGCAACCCGCACAATTCTAGTGGGGCTGCCTCCTCTGCACAAGGCCTGAATGCCGAAGCCTTACCATCCAAACTGCTCACAACCGGAACCCGGAATACGAAGCCGAAGATGAATTCCAGGTTGAGGGTACCCCCAAATGGGTGTGTCCTCCCATAAGCATCCCGAGAAAGTCTTTTTCAGCAGCAGCTGGTTGAGGCCGAGCACCGGCAATAAGGAACTGTGCCACTCTTTGAAGATAAACCGTCAATGAATCGTAGTACCCCAGAAGTCATCAATGAGATCTCGAGAAACTCCCAGCTCACTTCTCATCCGGGCGGATGACCTTACAAGGACGCTGCGGCCCAAGCCACCCACCCCAAGGCGTTCCACTAGGGTACCGCGGCAACATGGCTATACTTAAATTCAGGAGATACCAAGGCTGATAGATTCGGCTGCAGGGGTTCTGACTGAGTTAGGGCCCACTTTTGCTATCTGTGCATTTGGTTGAGGTGAGGCGGAGCTTGTGCTTTCTGGCAGAAGAAAAATGCATGAACGCCGGGATCTCACAAGTAAGACTTCATGGAAACCTCCTTATACGAGCACCTGTACCCCGAATGTAGCATCCTTATGTTCTTGCACATTCGTGGATTGCTGATGACCAAGATCGTTCGTTATGTGGACCACATGACCCGTTCAAAAGGAAACCAAGCAAGCCCTCAAGCTGAATCCTCAAAGCCAGCCATGCCCGCCAAGCTTAGAGGTCCTGGGCGGGAGGCATATTCAAAAATACGATCTAATTGTCGACATTTCCATGTACATGCAACTCGTCTAAACCCTAAACCCTAAACCCTAAACCCTCATCATCCGCATGATCGTCAGCATCACAAAGATCATCACCTACTTGCTCGTCGCTGCCATTACCATGGCCTTGGTCATGGCAACGGCCGCACTGACAGTGGGCCCCTCTTCATATCAGTCGCCATAGCAGATTGGGTTTAGGGTTTAGGGTTTAGGGTTTAGGGTGATAGTGAAATTGATTTGCTACTCCTTGTGTTAGGTTTTCTTCCTGGCCTGCTTTCACTGACTCGTGCACGCTACACCTTCCACCTCGCTCGACTGCCTCCGCAAGAGGAAGCTAAGGGCCATCGGTTCATGGATGATGGGCTCAACCTAACCCCAAAAACTCCGAATGGGGTCTGTCCAAGCCCGTAACCAGCAGTTTGATCTGCATCTGCACCTCAACAAACTTGCTTGCTGCATGCATGATTGTCAGCCACCCCTTCGCTGCCAGGGCTGTGAGTACAGGGCAGTTTCTCTAAATTAGGATCCCTTTTTAGGTCCCCAATATAGACGGCACCCTTATAAAAAGGACCCCAAAAGGGACCCTAATTTACAGAACTACCCATAGTTACATAGTTGAAGCCAGGTCTGCGAGGTTTTGTTTCCGTGGGCTGGTCCGCCGAGAATGGGGCCAGCGGTTGCAATGCTCAAACGCAACGTCCGAAGGAGTGCCCTGCCTGGCAATGGACCACGTCTTGATTTTCAGGTTGGACCAAGGCCGTCTGGGCCTTGTCCACTGCCATTTCCAGACGATCGTTTCGCACTCCGCCACGGAAGCCGCTACTGGCGGCAAGCATCAGGAACATGGCCTCCCAGACACCACCCCGAGCTCAATGCTCTAAGTTCCTGGTGGCGTGCAAGTCCTACATCAACCTGCAACGCCTCATTCAGGCTCGGCACAGCCCTAAGGTTGAGTCCTGCATTATGCTTTAAACACAATCTTACCCTATCTCCACTCGTGCTTTTCGGTTTTACGGTAGGGCTGAGGCAGAGGTAGGATGCTTGGAAGTGTGTGTGTGTGTGTAGTCAGCTGAAATGTTTTACCATTATCGCTGTTGCTATTTCTTTTAGTATGACTGTTCTTTGCTATAAAATTGATGTCGCTTTCTTTATCATGGTCAGATAACTGCTACCAGTGTTTCCACTACTAGTTCGAAACAATACAGCTCTTCGTTTCAGAGTTTGTTGCAAACCGAATATTACTATATCTAACCTGTTCTGGATGAAAATCAGCATGAGCTTCCTTCCTAACACGATTACAGCCATAGCTGTCACAACTGATGCCTGCATAAGTATCCGCCTGATGGTTAGGGTCCACAGGAACAAGCCTCGGAATGATACAGGGTACCACCCCTACGAGTCAAGGCACCCCCATTCCTACACCCTGGACTTGAGCAGCCCTGCGCGATAGTCCATCTCTTCAAGATGACTCGTCGTCGCCGCCTGCAGAAGAGGGCGACATGCATGAGCCTCTACATAGACCTGACAGACCTGGCTTCAAGAGGAAAAAGGGGGGCTTTCATATTCAATATATATATATATATATATATTTCTGGAGGGTGGGACGCTCTCGGGCCCCCATATTTACAGCATTTTCGCATGTTTTTGGAACGAAAATCGCTTTTGAAACAGAAGGGTGGTATAACACTTGTAAATGCACTGCACTCAGTTCCAGATCAATTGTTATGTCAATGGTTTCCGTCATTCCATATACCAGACCTTTTTCCTTGGAAGCATGTTTGCAGTAATCGTTCGAGCTCGAAAGTATCAACTATGTTGATAACAACGAAACATGATAAGGTAACCAATGTACTCGTG